AACCCTTGTCATATAATCAGTTTTTCCCATTCTCGCGACTATTTATGAATCTAAGGCTAGTCTTAGCATTGTTTTTAGATGGGTTCTTACCGTTTTCTGAAAAATAGGTATTTTACATCTTTCCAAGAGTAATGGTTGGCTTTATAGCCCATAGTTTTTTTTGGTTCACAGTTAAGCCCAGAGAAAGGAGGAGGGCTGTGTTAGGTTGGCAGCTAGTGCAAAAATTTTGCTACATCTGTCTCATGAATCCTAGCCGACCTAGATAGTTGGGATAAGGCTCAGAGACTGATGACTGTTCCTAATGTTCTTGTGATGTTCAACCCATGAAAAGTTCTCTTTGGGCTTGGCTTTGGAGACCTTTTCTAGGGTTTTCTGAGAAAACCCATTTGAGAACAGCTGAATGATGTTAAGAATGGAGCTTCTATGAGGAATTGAGGATTTGGGTTCTCTCGAAAGGGTTTTTTTTTATAATCACCTGGCTTGCAGAGGTATCAGCTACAGCTACAATGGAGCAGAAGCTTGCTTACTACATTCTTCATGATTAAATTGCTAGAGAGAGAAATTGAGGAATTTAATATTTCAATTCTCTGCCTAAAATCACAAAGAACAGAAATCAATGTCTCTTTTATTGTAATCTCTCTCTCTCTCTCTCTCTAAAAAAGGGGTGTGGAAATCCTCCCCCAAATCAAATTTCCTTTTTTCTATTTTTGCTTTTCTTCTTTTTTTTTCTTTTGCTTTTCTTTTTTAGTCCTGTACAGTACTTAGGCGAATCCACTCGGACTTGCATGAGTTACTCTGCTTGGGCGGGGGCCAAGTCCTGAGCCCAAGCTGAGTATTTAAACTGTGCTTACAAAAGCTTGTTTTCTGTGTGTGTTTGTGTTAGTTTAATCTCCTTTGGCAATGGAAATTAATTCTAACTAATAAAAGTCAAATATTTTAGTCAAAACTGGTTCTCTAATTTATCTAACCTACGCAATTATGTGGTTTTCTATGGCCATTGTGATGTATTTGGATCATATACAACAATACAAATTTATTCATTTAAGGAGTGGGGAGGGTGATTTGATGAAGTATTTCAATAGGACAAAATTATTTAAAATGAGTTTGGGTTATTGAAAACCATAGAAGCCTGGCATAAGGGCATATTGTTCTTTGTGTATTGTATATGTACCCAAAACCTACTGTTAATGCGAATAAACTAATGCAGTCCCCCTTCACCCAGTCTCGTTCATTTTATTCCACAGTTACCCATTTCAAATCTAGAAGCATTTGCATTTATTCTGGTCTAGTTGCCTTTGTGAAGTTCTACTCTGTGTTCTGGAGTTTCCATCCCTGACTAATTTTTCTGGTCTTCTGAAATTCTGTTGTAACCAATTTCTTTCTTCAGCGCAATAAGTATTTGTCATTGTTAGCTTTACCTCCATTGTTTGCTTCTTTTTGTTTATCAAAGCAACGTCACTGGTATTAACCTTTAACTTAAAAATAGTGTTTTCTTATCCTTTTATATGAAGTTTTGATGTTGACAGATATGGTTCACGGATTTATGGGGATAGTTATCAATAGAATAGCTTTGCCATTAGTAAAGAAGAATTATGCCTCTGTGAGAATTTTGGAAATGATTTTTATAGTTATTTCCTTTTTTATACTCTCGTTGTTTTCATTCCTTAGGACTTTTCACTTGATTTCATCATCAGAATGTTGTTTTGGAGGTTCTAAAAGTAACAGTGAATATATGAGGTTTCTTCTTCTTCTTCTTCTTCTTTTTTTTTTAATAATGAAGATATGAAGTTTCAGTAGGTGCTGAAGCAATTTATTCCATATTTATCTGAATAGGAAAGTTCATTATCTGCAGGACTTCGGAAGAAGCACCAAATGGACTTGGAAAATCTTACGCTGACAAAAAATCCATTCAAGACCTTGAAGCTTTTTTTTTTGGCAACTGTGCAATATCTGATGCAATCAATAGCTTATGTTTTTACGAAAGGAGTTTGGTTAATTCTTTTGATAATACTGGGAGTGTTTTTTGTGCTCCTCCTCTTGACAGTGAATGGACCTCATGAGAAGGTAACTGGTAGCTATCATAGTGTACATCCCATCAATGCACGATTGTCTTGTTAGCTGATTAACCTGAATAACACATATTTGTTCTGATTAGAACAATATGCTGCTAGATTGGTACTTGCATTTGTCTCATGCCACTGGTGAGGCCAATTGCTGGTCCAACATTTGTTTCTGATCTCTATTGCCTGTTAGGGAAAAATGAACTCGTCACTTCTTTGTTTAATTGTTATTGAAAGTAGCTTTTTCATTTTTCTTCTTTTGATGAGTTTTTTATTGCATGGTCCGAAGCTTCGTAATTCTTTGAGGTTTGAACTCTTGCAGCATCTTCAGGAAGCTCTGGCCTATCTCCGGTTTGGACTGTGGTGGGTGGCACTTGGTGTGGCATCATCCATTGGACTGGGTAAGTGCTTGCTGTGAAATATTATGAAATTAGTTTTTGCATTCTTGACAGAGTTAGAAGAATTCTGGTTCTTAAATTTCATTCAAGCTTTGACTTCTTGGACCAAAATGCGGTAGAATATGAGGGGAACTTTGTAATGGGCACCTAATAGGTAGTTCACTCTGAATTTAATTGATTTTGTTGAAAATAATTGATAGTTTTTTGAGTTGTGGGCTGTGGCTATAAAGAGGCTCACCCTTTCTATCATTTCCATGAAATACCATGTTGGTTGCTTCTCAACTTGCCAGTAATATTATATTTTGTAGATTTGAGGCTCTAGATGTACAGCGGTAGTGTCTGATCTTGTTTGTAAAGTACAGGTCTGATTCATGCATGTAAGAGTCATTAATGGAATGTGGCATATTTATTTATTCTTTCTGTACCTGCCTAGATGGTGCATACATTTTTGTTCTCTGTGTTTTTACATTGCGGCATCCTGATTGTGAAATGCTGCTTTGTTTTTGAAAGTCAAGTGGCCTTAGCCTGAGTAAAAATTAATTCTGGTATTGCACTGAGCACTTTCCTGTCATATGCTGTGTCACAGGTTCTGGCTTGCATACATTTGTGATCTACCTGGGACCCCACATTGCGTTCTTTACAAGAAAAGCGATGCAGTGTGGCCGAGTTGATCTCAAGTCTGCTCCTTATGACACCATACAATTAAAGAGAGGCCCTTCATGGCTTATAAAAGATTGTTCTGAATATGGCCCACCAATTTTTCCATCCCTGAGCGACTCACTTATACGAGTTCCACTTAGCAGTATATTGCCTCAGGTCCAATTGGAAGCCATTCTGTGGGGCATTGGAACTGCTCTTGGGGAGCTTCCTCCTTATTTTATCTCCAGAGCAGGTATGTCATGTGCTGTTACTAGATGCAAGCCATTTTGGTTCATTGCTAGTGAAGTTCTATATTTCTATTGTCTGGTCATACTTGGAAGCATGTGGATATTGTTTTTTGCCCCGTTCTTTCTTAAATACTCTTTCACCTATGAAGAGACATGAGGATTAATGTAGGTGGCGTGCCTGCTAAATTCAGACAGTTTTTTGGGTAAATACTAACTTGGGGCGTTTCGAAGATTAAAGCCTTCAACCCTTTTGCACCTTAGCAAAAACCAACAAAACTGTAGCATCAAATTTTTTTTTTTGAGATAAAAGAATTTCTTGCTATTATGATGATAGCTTTTGTCGTCTAAATGTTTCATAAAAGTCGCCATACGTAGAGCAACATACATTTTCTTGCTATCAAATTATGGAACTAGAAAACTAACTGGACAATTTTTTCTATTGGAGGTCGAGATCGAGATCCTGAGTTTCATGGGATCCACATTCCTTTTCATAGTATCTGAGGGTTCCTCGGTAAACTGAACCGAGGTTCCACCAACTTGGGATTAACCTTAGTTGTAGAGTCTATCGTCCCACTTGCGCTTTTTAACAGGTCACAAGTTCGAACCTTGAACTTCAACTTAATGCTAACTAATGGCTATAATGCAATATCTGTTAGCATTTATAAGTATTATGTGTTTTGTTCACATATAATTTGTTATGGTGGTAGGCTATACTGCTCCTTTTGGGCTCTTTAATAAGTTGCAAGTTACCATGACCTTCGACTTAATACTTATTTTAGTACCTTTTATTCATCAAAGAAGGACCATGGTTGTTACTACGCACAAAGTCATAAACTACACTCGAAGAATGCAAAACTTAAAGTATTATATAATGATTTGATTTTTTTAAAAATTGTTGTTAACTTATAATATATGTGGATTGCGCTCTCGGCTTAGGGAACCCTAGTTAAATGTACTTGAGGGCCTTGATTTTTACCCAAATGGAGCTTGGTCCTATAGAATGTATCATTCAACCCCTAGAAGTTGGGGTCGAGCTCCCCAACATATTGGAATCGCAACCCTTAAATTTTGGGGAGTACGAATTGTGATCTCAAACCTAAGGACCTTCTATCTTTTCATAACCCCTTGATCCCGATCTGATCCAGGAACTGTCCTAGTCCCAATCCCTTTCTTTTCAATGTTGCTGCGATATCATGCATTCAACTCCCATATTTTTCACAATTTTGGATATATGTTTGTAATATTACTTTACATGCAAATGTTTTTACCCTTTTCTGAATTGAAACGTTCCATTTTGGACACCTTAAAAATGTTTTTGAGATCGACACCTGTCTCAATGTTTGGATTACAGATGCCCTTTGCCCACGCCCCAAAAATTGCTGAGAACAATATGAAAAGCAAGACAAGTTTTCACTAGAAACTATTTTCTTTACATCTAGTCCAGCGAGAAACCTGAAAACCAAAAGAAATAACCTAAAGCATCCTTTGCCTAGTCACAACTGCCAATTTAGTGGTGCGCAAAAAATGAGAGACTTCACGTTATTTAATCCATTTGTAGTTATGCGTAAAATTTATCAATTTGAGTAAGTTTATGATAAAGTGCTAATTATATAAATTTGTTTGTTCAAAGTTGTAGGCTATCTTCTATAATTATCAATTTATTATATGTATTGTAATTTTTGTGCTTTTAAAATCAAACGGCAAAACTATTAGTGATTCAAATCTCTTTTGCTGCTAGGATTTCTTTCTTTTACTTGTTTTGTCATTCTCAGTGGGATATTTCTAATTGCTTGAACCATTAATTTTCCTTTTTAGATGTTAGATGTGAGCTATTATTGTCACATGGGCACCAAGATGAGTATTGATGTCTGATAGTATCTAAAGTGTCTAGTCCTTCGGCTTATCAGATACACAAGCCATATCCATACATAAAATATTTTCTATTATATAATAGGAAAATGTATACAATAAGATTATTTACTTTTTGTATAGGGAAATCACGAAAATTATTGACCGCTAGATGTGAAATCAGGTTGCTAGAGGGGTGTGTCCTTGATTGGGCACAAAGTCCAAAATAAAATTTCTCAAACTCATCATCATCATAGCCTTTTCCCAAACTATTTGGGGTCAGCTATACAAATCCTGGTCTATCAGTCTACTCTATCAAGAGCCATACTCTTAGTGAGTCTATGATTCGCCCTATATAACGCCCTAACGTAAGCAGATAACGTAGATTCATGGAAAGTTTTGACAAAGTTTTATGTTGGCTGCCTACCTAACACAACCCACCTCCTTTACCTAGGCTAGAGACAGGTTTAGAGAAAGTTTAAGGTCCTCAACCCTCTTAGAACAAAATAAAATTTCTCAATCTATATGATACAATTTAAGTTGTTGGATTTCACATCCGATAGTTAAGGGTTATTGTGACCTTCAAGTACCAAAAACGAATGGTCTTATAGTCTGCAATACCTATATAATACCATTATTTAATAAAATTCAGATAAATGTTACACAACTATGTGATGGTTCTAGATACCCTTTTTTAAAAAGTCCCCCCAATTTTTCTATTGTATATGCGTATCACCATTTCTCTCTCTCTCTCTTCTC